GGTCCCGTGCCAGGCCTCTGAGTGTGCGGCCCCTCCCAGCGCGGCCAGGAATGCGGCTGGACCGCGGGGGCGGCGCAGACTCGGCGCTCGGCCCGCCAGCCGGCCCTGTCACACAGGCCGCCAGGCAGGTGGCCTCGGCTGGCTGCGGCCTGGGTTTCTTCTAGAAGGAAAGCAGGACCGCCTCCCTCTTCGGCCAGGCCGCCAAACCCAGTGGCTTTATTTCCGAGGCAGCCTCCTAGCCGCCTGTTCTCCGCCCAAATTGAGATTTGAGGTCTGGAATTTTATTTTTTAATCCTCACCAGAGGCTATTTTTTTCCATTGCTTTTCAGAGACAGTAGAAGAGGGGGAGAGAGAGAGAAACATTGATGTGATGTGAGACACATTGATTGGTTGCCTCCCTGACACACACCGAGGAGGGCCAGGGACTGAGCCTCAAACGGAGGTACCTGCCTTCTGCTGGAATCGAACCCTGGACCCTTCAGTCTGAGGGCTAATGCTCTAACCACCGAGCCAAACCAGCTAGGGCTGGAATTTTATTTTATTTTATTTTTAAGTTGCTGGAGTCTCTGTTTCTGTCACCATTTTCCTGGAGAGCTGCCTCTCAGAGCTCCTTGGAGAGGCTCCATCCAGCTTCCAGCTTTGTGCTTTTATTTCTGGCTCATTCTGAAAGCTCCCTTTGGCCCCTAGTCCCCAAGACCACAGGTAAGGACTAGATTTCATTATCAAAAAGTGGCCTGAGGCTCCTCTGCCACCACCACCACCATGGTGTACAGGCACACCAGGGAAGCCTGGCTGAGTACCTTCTGGGGAGTCTTCTAGAGGGCCAGTTACCAGACTTAACTTGGTCTGCTTCTCAGACCAATAAAATGGTAAAGTTCATGGTTTGAAACGCACCTTCTCAAGTGATGACTTCCTGGAGCCTTGGTTCTCTCAACTGTAAAATGGGGACAATAATAATGCCCATCTCGTTATAAGGATTAAGTGAGTTAACACATCAAGTGCTTAGAGCTGTGCCGAGTGCACAGTCCGTGGTCAATAAATGTTAGAGGCTATTAATCTCACCCTCGCCTTAGCCCAGAAACAAAGAAGCATACAGACTTGAAATTTCCCAGGACTGGTTTTTAATTTCAAAAAACTGGTTGGGGTCTCTTTCTACATCAGGGAGATCTATACCCCAGGCTATGACCTCAGGGGAGTCAGTCCAGCATTAGGCCAGGTCCAATCGCAATCCAGCCACCAGGCCCCGTCATTCCATCATGAGGCTGAACCCAGGCTCCTCCCATCAGTCTGAGACAAGGGGACAGAGGTGAGGCTGCCCAGGACTGATTCTGTCTCTCTGAAGCCCCCATCTCTGTTCTAGAGGAGCCAGTTGTGTCTTTCCAAGGAGAGTTGGCTCAGTCACCAACTCTCAGTTTAGTCATCAGACAATCCTCCCAGCCCAGGGGTCAGGGCCCTGGCCCCGGTGGTCGCTCCAGTGCCTGTGTGCTCACCAGCACGTCCATGAGGTAGTCCAGCTCAGTCTCATTCAGCTCTGGAGCTTCTTCCTTGCCTGACCCATCTTCAGGGCCAGGTTTGAGGCCCTCAGAGGCTGGCGCCCAAAGTTCGCTGTCATACATGGAGGTATCAATGTCCTCAAACAGGCCCTCAAGCCCATCGTCTAGTAGACAGCCAGTGGCTGGGTCCAGCAAGTCCAAGGCAGCCAGGCTGGGTGGGGCTCCCCCAATGGGGCGGCCTGGTGGGCCTTCATCTGCCAGGGGCTGGGGGGCCTGGCTCAAGCCCTCAATATGGCTGAGGTCCTCCAGGAGGCTGGCCATGGAAGCTGAGAGGCCGGCGTCCGAGCTGGCCAGCAAGTTGTCAGCCACATCAGAGGCTGCTGGCGGGCTAGGCGCAGGTGGCAGGACAGCTGTGGGCACCATGGATGCCTGGATGCGTCGCAGTGTGTTCACAACCAGCACGAGGTGCCGCAGGTTCGGCTCGCTCTGCCGCAGGCTGTGGTGGAGCTTGAGCACTGAAAGGTCAAAGAGGGAACTGGAGGCCACGGCCGGGGGTGCCGGTGCCACTGCTGGGTGGTCAGGATCCAGCCACCAGGTGTCCACTGCCAGGGCTTCCTTCTCCTCCTCCTCCTCCTCCCGCTTGCGCTTCAGTCCCTTGCTCAGCATCATCTGTGGGAAGGGAGGAGTCACTGAGTTACAGAAAGCCAATGTTAAGTTCAAACCGCGGCTCTGATGACTGCTGTGTGATCTTGGGCAAGTCACTTAACCTCCCTGAGCCTCGGTTTTCTTAGGGAATCTTTAAGATACAAATGATATTAGTATCTACTTCCTAGAGTTGTTTTGAGGCATATATGAGAAAATATATAAAAAACAAAAACAATACACCCTGGCTGTTGTGGCTCAGTTGGTAGGAGATATGTCCCATACACCAAAAGGTTTTGGGTTCGATCTCGGGTTGGCGTACATATGGGAGGCAACTGATTGATGTTTCTCTCTCACATCAATGTTTCTTTCTCCATCTCTTTCCCTTCCTCTCTCTGGAATCAATGAATTAAAAATAAATAAATAAAAAAAAAAAATG